TAAAGCAATTCTAGGAAATAAAATTAAATGGAGCAAAACAATGTGCATAATTTAATAGGCCATACAAAGAAGCCATGTTTGTCGGCATTGGATTTTTTTATTTTAGAGAAATACAGTCATATTTTAAATAAATTTAATATAGATCTGTGGGAAAAATTCTTAGTTTAAATTGCTATTGTAACGAACTGCATTGGTATGCATATTATAAAATAAACGTAGTATTTGTCATTGCAACCGTTAGGAAGCCGGATGTGTGTTTACGCCTTAAGAAGATTCTTCCTGATTCTGCTTCTTGCAAGGATTCGTCAAGGCTTCTAGAAGCAATTTCATCGCAAACCTGATATCTCTCGAAGTTATTATGATACAAGTATTCTGTCACAACACTTTACTACGATAACTATAATGTATTTGTAATATAACGCATTTCTTGGGACGCAGAACTCATCCTATTATCACGCAAAATGGAAATGTCAAGAGGCAGGAAATACCTTGAATGAGAATCCATCTTTGATCAGCAAATTTAATTAAGACGTGAAAAGCCGTTAATTAAATGAATATATTAATATCATAACTTAGATTATTCGTCAGATACAGTAAAAATTACATTAAGTGAGATATTCGCAAGGACTGACCGGAAAAGGAACATCATTAATTCTGAGTTAACATTATTTGAGATAGATTTTTGATAGATGCATTTGCTTAGCAATAATGTATTATATTTAACAGCGTTATAGCAGTCTGAAAATGAATCAGCTACAAGGATGAAAATATGCCCACAAATAATTTTCATGAAGTTTGTAGGATTTCAAACTAAGGAACTCAAACCATTTTGATTTTCATTTTCTACCTTACATATAATGTGCTTGGATTATTACATATAATGTGCTTATACGTGCTTTGACATTAGTAAAACCGCATTATATGATAACGACCCGAGCAGTAAAATCGCTGAATGTTCAGTTCGGGGCTGGCTGCATGTACTTTTCCGTGGTTTTCCCCATGTGCAAAATATGTACGAGCCAGTCTCCCTCGAGTGCTTTGCCCTAATTAATGTACCAATAATAATAAACTACTATATGATAAGCAATTAGCGAAATATAGAATGAAAATTATGAGGTTTACTTTTACATACGTTACATTAATATTAGCTATGAAATTTGGTTACGTTTTAGCTATAGTTACGAATTTTGTACTTAGATAGTAAAACTATTAGTAATTATTATTAAACTATAAGTAAAATTATTAAACTATAAGTAAAATTATTGTAATTCTTTTGTAACGTAAAAAAATCTAAAGAGAAGCTATGTCGGAAAAGTGCGAATACGGGGGCAAAGGCATTTAACATTATTCAACATTGAGTAAATGTGTATCTCGGTAATTTGGCGAGATATCGCTGACAACGGTTTTGGCGATTTATTATGTCGGCAAGTTTGGCGACATTTTGGTTCGGTTCCTATATCACCGTAATATGTATTGAAATTAAATAAATGTAATTGTCCACTATGTTAGCTGTAACCGTGATTCGACCCTCATATTGCTTTTCCGTAATTTCGAGAATCTAAGTACTAGAAATATCTCGGCGACAGCTTCAAAACTATGTAAGAAAGGAAGAGACAGATCTGCTGTCAGTTGTTTAGTTATTGTTGTTGCGAGCTGTTAGTTCCGCAATAACTGAGATATCCGGGTTAGTTTTAAATGCGCTCTTTAAAAGCGATTTGCATTCTGTTGTGTGTAACGTTCTTAGTAGTTTAAAATGTAACTACTGATCGTATTCTGTAATTCTGCAAACACTTGTAGAGAATTTCTGTGGTAAATTCCAGAATTTTGAAGTGTCTCTTTTTATTAAATAAATTTTATTAACCTATCATCGAACCTGCGTGCATTCAATCTATTACGAACCCGTACGCACGCAACACTGTTATTACCTTTTATGAATTTTAAGATATTAAGACAGTCATACATTTAGTAACTTGCAAAAATTTAGTCAACTTATGGTCTTTCAAATTATGTGTATAATCATATGCGCTTTAGGAAGAAAGTTTAATACCCGGCAACGTATTCTCGGTTCTTCAGTTGCCGTTAATTAAGACTTAGTTTTAATTAAATTTTTAATCTAGGAGCATTAATGACTGGTTTAGAACATTTAGTCTTTTACAGTCGAGCTTGTAAGAGAAGGTTTCTTTGCTTAGGTATCATTTTTATCAAAGATAATCCAATTTATTTTATTAAAACTATTTGCTATTGAATTATCTTATTTATTAGAGAATTTCATAGAAATTAATAATGCAAGTTTAGCAAAAATTTAAGCTATAGAGTTTCTGTTTTTTTTCGGGGGGGGAGGTTGTTTTTGTTTGGTTTTGTTTTCTTTTGACATAAGGACTTATTTTCTTTGACTGTCAAATTTTTGTTAAAAAATTAAATTTTATCTGTTAATGGAAATAGCAATTCCGAATTTAATTTTACATGACATCATATTATTAATTATACTTCTAATAAATAACGAAATTCATAAATATTCTACGGATATAATGGCTGAAAAAGAGAAGAAAAGAAAAAAAAATAATAATTATGGTGTGTTTTATTTGATTATGGCAAAGCACTCGTAGGAAATCTGCCTAATGGGAAGATACCTTCGGGGAAGACTTTCTAAGCGAAACTGGCTCGTACATACATAACGCATGGGAACTCCACGAAAACGTCAGTGCAGTCAGTCCATTTGCCGGGATCCAGGCCCCTGGCCGAATTACTAGTGTTTAGCAACTTTGCCGCTCGGCTGCTGGTGGGCCTGGAAGAATAACTAACATTAGCGTAATATCGAATGATTTTCTATCATGTCGTAGGCTTTTCAGATATTACGTCTTATTATACATTTAAACCTAATAATTAAAATAAATTTTTCCTCAGCAGTATTTAATAGACCTACTAGGAACTCTGTTGCAGAAAATCGGAAATTTATTATCACTGATAAACAATCGAATGACATACCGAGTTGTTTCAATATCTTCCCAGGCAAAGCTTACCAACCAATTATTGTTTTTAGTTCAAAGGGGTATTGTCCCTGAGGGACTATTGTTTCCGTTTTGCGATTTTGCATCGAATCACTCTGAATGCCCGTTTCACTTTTCAGACTGTTGCCACCATATGCTATCGCCCAACCTGCTGCGAATATGCGCCTTTGGAAGCCCAAATTTGAAATTTGGAATTTGACTTATTACCGATTTCATATTTTTTAAACCTTTGACGAATTTTTGATTAACAAACTCAAGGATTTCAAAGCGAGCAATGGCAACGTTGTACAGGAAAATCATGTTTATCTCCATCGCGTGGGACTGTGTATCGGAAATTCTAAAGATATATTCAATTTAAAATTATTTTGCGATATTTCTCTTGAACTGAATTTTATGGTTTAAGTGCGAAGAGCAGCATATATCTTTATAATAATAAAAGCAAGTGTAATGTGTCTGTCTGTCTGTCTGACCGAGCTCTCCAGCCAAATCTATCGCACGCAGGGACCTGGAATTTTTTATACGGAAGCACAAAGGGGCTGGCCACCAGACCTCGAAGCCCGATTTTCGATTTTTGAATTAGAAAAATTTTAAAAAAATTATTTATAATTGATTAATGACGGTTTTTTTGACTCACTGATATTATTATTTGTTTTCAAATAACGTTCGATTGTAACAATTGATTTCTTTATTCTAGCGTTAGTTTGCTGTTTTGACGATACATTAAATCGATTAATTACAATTCATTTCTTTTTTGTAGCTTGTGGGGGGGGGGAAGAGAGAGAGACAGTCTACATGTCCTACACTACTATTCCTGCGCTATTCACTAATCTGCATTTTCTAAATGCACGGGCAACGCCGGGCGGGTACAGCTAGTTATAAATAAAGGTAAGACACAAAGTGTTAAAAAAACGCTCCTTTGGACGTAATTTCAAATCTGAAACCTTTCAGATTTATTATTATTATTATTATTATTATTATTATTATTATTTTATTTTTAACTTATAAAAACTTGTTGTTCTTTTAAGGCACTGCAGCTTACTGCTGGCCAAGGCTGTCTCAATCAGTCTACCCCATCTGGGCTTATTGATGTAATACTCATCCTAGTCTCCCCTATGTATGGTATTAATATCCTCCTCAACAGCGTCAAACCACCTAATTTGTGGCCTTCCTTGCTTTCTAGCTCCCCGTAGGTTTGGTAAATGTGGGTTGTTTTACTAGATTTATGCCTTCACTTCTGTATATAAATGACCCAAGCATCGAATCCTTTGGCTTTTTATGACCTTGACAGTATCAAGCTGCTCTAAATTTTTGGTAGATTTCATGATTATACATAATCTCCAAACACCATATTCACAAACAGCCCCAAATAGTTTTCTTAATATTCTACGTTCAAATATCAGTAATTTACTTTTATTTGCCGAACGCTCGCAGCCATATAGTGTGATGGGACGTAACACGTTTTTATATATAATAATTTTAGTATTACGGCAGATAAGTCGAAATTTGAACTGATTTTTTAAGACCATGGTACTATCTATTTGCAATGAGGAGCCTGTTCTTAAATTCCATATATAAATCATTATTATTAGTGACAATAGTTCCAATACATTTGAATTGTGCCACGTTTTCAAAAGTGTAGTCGTTCGCAGTCAGTGGCAACGGATTAGTTGATTTGTGGGCCAATTTTGAAAATTTTGTTTTATCTTCATTTATGGTTAAACCTAATTTTCTCGCCTCAGCTTCTAATAGATTGAATGATTCTGCGACACGCTTTCTGGATCTACCCAACTCATCAAAATTATATGTAATTTAAATTTCAATTTCGGGCATGCCACAAATTTTGAACAAGTATGAAGAAAATTTTATTACATTTAATTTCTTGTTTTCTGTTCTATAGACTATAACCCACGACGTTTACTTAATATGTTTTGTTACTAGAAAAATATTGCTATTGTTGATGTTGCTGAAAGAGGAATCTTGTTTCCTTTTTAGAAACTCAACAGGAGCGGGAAGTCTCGAAGCCTGTGGATACCGTACCTATGACTGTGTGGGAGAAAGCCGGAAGAGGCGATACGAGATTATCGCATAGCAGAGAACAGCTGTACTTCCCTGCTCCTTACGCCACATCTCGCATTTCCATGTACTCAGCAGACGGAGATCCGGAGGCAGCCCACCATCAGCAACAGCAGCATCACCATGGGACGACGCACACATGGAGACCGGAAGAGCGGGAGCACACGTATGACGTTCCCTTCATGCACAGACAGGTGACCCGAATCTAAGCCCAGGGTCTGGTGACACTACACAGTTTCTATAACCTACATCTCCTTAAAAACAAATTAAAACAAACATAATAAACACATGGGACCACCAGAATTTAACATTTTTAAAAACAACAACATTATAAGAAGGATATTAGTGTGTGTTTATATTTATATTTTTGAAATTTGATCATCCAGTTTGGCGGAACACGTTCCTTGTCTCATTGCAGAATATCATCGTCGACGAAGCGGACGGCAGACAGGAAGGAAGAGAAATTGGATACCAGATAGGAAGGCATCTATACCTAAATCCAGGTAAGATCTAAATTAATTTTTATAATTAAAACATTTCGAATTATGTAGGAAATTTAGTAATTTACTATTTTTCATTGAGATGAATGTTCAGTTACTTCGCTTTATTGATTAAAAGCTATAACCTGTTCTACCAGCTTCTAAATCTACTCAACTATTCATTGCAAAATAGAAACAAAATGCCTCTGTGTTAACGTGTAAAAACACGTTAAGACACAATAAATGAATAAAATAAAATAAAAAGTCTGTCCATGTAAAGCGTTTAACACTTTTATTCAGTGAAAGATTAGATTATTTTCGGTACGATGTTTCGTTCTCGTGTTTTGCACCTAGAAAGGAATATTACATTAAGACTGAAACTGAAAATTAAATGTGAGTGGAAAAAATATTCCATCCAATGGCAATACATTTTGACTCTTCATTAGTTTATTTATGGGCAATGAATTTAGTCATTCAGTATATGGAATCATATGTTACTTTACAGAAGCTTGTTTGAATAGCTGTGAGTTGGAAATCAGGTTGATGTTAATATATTTAAACTTATACGTTTTTAAATTGTCTTATCATCTATATGAGATAATGCAATGTGTGGTTAATTTCAAACAGATATTCTGCTAATTAAAATAATTTCTTTATAAAAATAGTAACTTCTCATACTGTAGTGCATATGCATAAGTGTGAAAATAAAAAATAGCAAACCCAGCATAATATGTTCACAGTACGAAGTTTTATGAAACACTTTCTCAAATATTAGATGTTTTACTTACAAGAGAATCCAAAATTAATGTTACAACAAAAATTACAACAAAAATTGATTAATATTTGATTCAACAGCGTTTTGAATGTAACCATTCCGCATAATGAAAGTGCATGATAATTTCATTTTATTGACACAAAGAGTAAAGTTCATAATGATTTACCACGTAGGCAAATTGCAGATAAGACAGTTTAATTAACTCTAAGAAGACTATAGATTCCTCATTTAAATGCGTTTACTGTTTTTACTTGTTAAACGCCACATGAATCTTATTAATATCCCTTCATTAATGAGTTTCTTTCCCTAATTGTTGTATAATTCCTTAAAAATCTTCTGAAGAATACTGGACGATAATTCCGTTCTGTTACCTTACATGGCAATGCAGGAGTTTAACACCCATGCCTGTAACAAATGTTACAGGTAGTTTTTCCTTCTTAGATAAACTAACACTAGACAATTAATTGTTAATTAATATGAAAGCAATCACATGATATGTAGAATCAGCTAAATATCCAACCATTAAAACTAAATGAAATGACAAGAAATGTCTTCCAACCTTGAACTTGTAAGTTTTCTGGATAAAAAATATATGAATCTTCTCATCTAGGAAAAAATATAACAGTAAAATATATGGCTGCTTATATACTATACATGCGCAATTAAACTTGTGTACAAAATAACGAGATTTGACCATACAGTTTTATTTGGCCACATTCTAAATTTTCAAAATGCAGTTTTGAAAATCTGGAAAGTCGCCAATCAAATCGATTCCTCAATGATAAGATAAAATAATAAATTAGAGATGAAAAGCGGAAGTTACATATTTTTCATAGTAACCTACGTGCATAGTATACATATATATACCGTAACTTACAATGAAAAATTAAATAGAACTGAATAGAATTTAATTTCCGGAAAAGTAGTCTAACATATAAGAAATTCTGAAAACCATCTTATCAGAAAGACTTGTCTCATACTTTGATCATTTTAGCGTGATAAAAATCGTACACGCTTTACGAAATAATAAATACGCTATCTATGAATTCAATTATAGTTAATTAAATAATTATAGTTAAATTAAATAAATAAAAGATAAAAAACAATAATGTGCTTTACAACAAATATAATTAGGTGTATAGTGTGGTGTATTTAATTATGGCAAAGCACACTAGGGCTATCTGCCTAAGGGGAGGGATGCCTTCGTGGAGGACTTTCTAAGGGAAACTGGCTCGTATACACGTTAGACATGGGGAAAACCACGAAAACACCCATGCAACCAGCCCGTTCGCGGGATTCGAACCTCGGACCGAACTACCAGTGTTCAACGACTTTACCGCTCGGCCGCTGGTGGGCTCAAATACAATTAGGAAACTGAATGAAATTTAAATGTTTAAAAAACGATGACAACCAGCGGTTGAAGAATAAAGTTGCTAAACTTCGGTGGCTTTATAAAGAGCCCAAATCCCTGTGACATAGTAGCTACATATTCTGTCCTGTGTAAGGGGAATACGAGCACTTTTCCCTTAAAAGGCTTTCTTATTTTTAACCTCTTCACTCGATCATCACACTTCCAGAGCCTTCTTTGTTTATTCGGTTTGTTTTTGTTTATGGAATATTAGCGGTTATTATATTTCTGTTTAAATATGTCTATTCTTTTGAGAAAAATTGAGATTTCAAAATTGGGACACATTCTTATAAATTTAGATGTCAAACTTCTTCATTTCAATTCCTGTTGGTGATGATTTATAAGAATGTGATGTTTAAGACAAGCAATGGGGGATAAAAATAAGCTTTACGTTCAACCGTTTCACAAACAACAAAATCTTCTCTTAACTGTGTTACGTCAAGTTAAGAATAGAGAAAAATAGAGGAAAAACTTCTTTAAGTTAAAAAATAAATAAATAGTAAACGAGGAACAGAAATAAAAGAATAGCAAAATCGTACTCAAAGATATTTTAAGTACATTTGTTTACGCTCCTATATTCAAATGGAGCCGAAATCGAAAGAGTAGTTTAGCTTTGAAATAACTTTAATAAATTTAACTTCTCTCAGTTAATGCAAAGCAAATTCTAAACACCTAATAATAAAGTATCTATACGTAAACATCCAGTAATAATCCAATCACATAGTTAAGTTTTAAAATAAGTACAGTGGTACATCAACATACGAGTTTAATTCGTTCCGTAACCTTGTTCGTGTGTCAAATTGCTCGTATCTCAAAGCAATTTCGCCCATTGAAATTAATTGAAATGCCATTTATCCGTTCCAGCTCCCAAAACACCACCTTAGTTGTTTTTGTTAAGTGTTTTTGAATAAAAAAATGCATTTACAAGAAGAAAAATTTATTTATAAATAACAAATACATATTCTATGGAAACATAATTAAAAGAAAAAGTGAAGTGTCCGATGCACGACCAGTTTGTTTCAAAATTTTCGGGGTGATTTTTATCCACGAACTACAACTTTCTCCCACATTCCCAAGACCTGTTTTATATCTCTTGTAGCGATAACCTCCTCCACCTCTGGCTCCTCTTCAAAACTAATTTTTCGTTAACCAACGTATGCTGCTGCAAATACAGATCGTGTAACTCCTCGGTTGTCAGCTCCTGAGACTGTTCCTTCGACGAGTTCGTTCACATCTCTCTCCATCCACCTCCAGACTCATGGATTTTTCCCAGAGAAACAAGCTCCTCTACCTACTGACGACTTTGGGTTCCAATCCTTCGAAGGCCCTTTCACAGCCTCAGCCTCAGGCCACAGCTTCTTCCATGCAGAGGTTAAGGTCCTCGTTGTAACACCCAGCCAGGCCTGATCAATAATTCCTAGGCATATGACGATCTTAAAGTGGCCTTTCCAGAACTCTCGAAGGGTAAGGTTTGTGTTCTCCGTCACCTCAAAGCAGCCCCAAAAATGTGCTTGGTGTACAATTTCTTAAAATTAGAAATCACCTGCTGATCCATGGTCTGCAGGATAGGAGTGGTGTTGGGTGGTAGGTAGGGAACTTTTATAAACTTGAACTCTTGGAGTAAATCATCTTCGAGATTTGGTGGGTGAGTAGGGGCATTGTCGAGGAAGAGAAGGGCTTGCATGGGTAGGTTGTTTTTCTGTGGGTATTTTTTAACAGAAGGGCCAAACACCAGGTTTATCCACTCCACAAAGAATTTCCTGGTGACCCACGCCTTCGGATTTGTCCTCCACATAACTGGCAGATTTTTCTTTTGAAAATATTATATGACTTAAAGACTCTGGGATTTTCCGAATGGTAAAATCTAGCAGAGGCTTGATTTTACAGTCGCCAATCTCATTGGCGCAAATTGCTAGAGTTAATCTATCCTTCATGGGTTTGTGACCTGGCATCGTCTTCTCCTCTGCCGTTATGTAAGTTCTATTCGCCATCCTTTTCCAGAAAAGCACTGTCTCGTCACAGTTAAGACTTGCTGGGGGATGTATCCTTTGGCTAGTATCAGTTCGGAAAACATTTTGATGTAAACCTCAGCTGCCTTCACATCGGAACTTGCTGCCTCACCATGTCTGACGACGGAGTGAATGCCGGTCCTTTTTCCTAAAGATGTCAAGCCAGCCCGACTGGCTTTAAACAAGTCTTCCGATTCCTCGTTTTTAGAAGTGTGTGGGATCTTCTTTAGCAAATAACCGTAAATTGCTCGTGCCTTCTCACATATGATGCTTTATGTTAAGGTTCCTCCTTGAAGCTGCTTCTCTCTCACCCACCCCATCAGTAGTTTCTCCATCTATTCACGGAGAGAGGTCCGGAGCTTAGACATTATTGTATCGGCCTTAGATGGCGTTATACCCTTTATCAACTCCTTTTGTTTAAGCACAGTACATATCATTGATGTGCTACGCCCGTACATCCTCGCCAAGTCATTTACTCGCACACCTTGCTCATGTTTTTCCATGATTTCGCGCTTTAATTCAATAGACATTATCTTCTTCTTCGGACCCATATTTATAAAAATTAAACGTGAAAGCAAAAAACGCAAACCGAACTTATCAGAAATACTTCGAAAACAAGGGAAACAAGCAAAACAGACTGAGGTCTAGTCTGAGGTGGGAGAAACTGTTAGACGCTGCACACGACACCAACATGCGCGCGTATGTTGCGGTCATGTGCAGGGATGTAGTGTGCGTTTCCTCGTATCTCAAAATTTGCTCTTATCTCAAAGCAAAATATCGCTCACTCGGCGGCTCGTATCTCAAGACACTCTTACATTAGGGCACTCATATA